AAAAAAAAAGATTTTATTTATTTATTTGACAGAGAGAGCGAGAGAGCACAAACAGGGGGAACAGCAGAGGAAGAGGGAGAAGCAGGCTCCCCGCTTAGCAGGGAGCCTGATGCGGGTCTTGATCCCTGAGCCGAAGGCAGATGCTCAACCATCTGAGCCACCCAGGTACCCTGCCCTAAACAACTCTTGACTGCACCCTCAATAACAAGCCCTGAACCAGAACCACCCAGTTAAGCCACTGTGGATTCTTTACCATCAGAAACTGACATGTTTATTGTTTTAAGCTGTTAAGTTTTAGGCTGATTTGGTATGCAGCAATAACTAACACATCACATAATCAAGAAAGTCATCCTTTTATTATTGTAAATAATGCCAGTTTTGTACTAAATAGATTTCATTCTAAAAAGCAAGACCTCCTAGACCTAGTCTATGAGTTCTGAAATACTTTGAGTGGGCTATTAAATTTCTAACAATGAATCCTAATAAAATTTTAGAAAGTACATGGCAACTTAAAATATTCTCTAGCAAGCACTTTTCTGATGTAACAAGAAATCATCTTATCCCCCTAGCATCTACACCAGATTCTCTAATAATATACTAAAAGGAACTAAAGCTCCATAGAGAAGTGGCTAATTCCAAATCTTTCACAGGGAATGTATAAGGTGAGCCTGCTTACCTTGTTGAGACAGAAAACAAGAAAGCTTTCAAAGGTTAATGAAGATGTGTTAAAAGAACTCAGCAGTTAGCCTGAAAGGACTTGTATTAACCAAAGTTGTGACAATTTGAGCAACAAAAATGATGGTAATGGATTTAGCCCTACTGAATCAATGAAAATCCCAAAGGAGAAAAACATGCTTAAAAAAGAGAATACCAGTGAGGCACCTGACTGGCTCAGTCAGCAAAGCACACAACTCTAAATCTCAAGGTTGTGAGTTCAAGCCACATGTTGAGCGTAGAAGCCTACTTTAAAAATAAATAAATAAATAAATAAAATTATATATATATATATATATATATATACACACACACACACAAAAATGTAATATAAAATGTATTATATATATATATATTAAAAGTATATTTTTAAAAAAAGAGAACACCAGAAAGTTTGTTTTATCACTATCTGAGACAGCTATTAAACAACTTCTTAGAAATGGGTAAAGTGAAATTAAGCATTTGTTCTGACTTTCTAATAGTAACTGAATTTAAAGGTAACCAAAGAACACTGGTTAATAAAGAAATAGTCTAGGGATGAATACTCTAGGGATACCTAGGTGGCTCAGTTGGTAGAGCACCCAATTCTTGATCTCAGGGTTGTGAGTTCAAGCCCTGTGCTGAGGATGGAGCCTACTTAAAAAAAATAAAGAAAATAAAGAAAAATTCTACCTTTGAAGAATGAAGAATGTAGCTAATGAAAATAGAAAAATGTAATTTAAGGGGCACCTGTTTGGCTCAGTTGGTTAAGTGTCCAACTCTTGGTTTTGGCTCAGGTCATGATCTTGGGGTCCTAGAACTGAGCCCTAAGTTGGGCTCCCTGCTCGGTGGGGAGTCAGCTTCCCCTTTCTCTCTTTCTCTGCCCCTCCTCCACTCATGTGCACACTCTCTCTCTAAAATAAATAAATAAATCTTTAAAAAAAGAAAAATATAATTTAATAAACCCTAATGTAATCACTAATTTCAGCCAAGATTAGCAACTGGAATTACAACCCTTAGGTAAATGGTTAATGTTGAAAAGGACATTCATTTGGTACCCTAAAATACCACACAAATTATTTTCTAGTCATACTATTCAATGAAGAAATCTGTCATCCCCCAAACCAGCAGTCAATCTCAGACTCACTAGGGGTAGGCCACATAAATACCATGTAACTTTTAGTATCATGGAACATGAAAAACACATCATCTATGATATATTCAAACTAGAATTGCTATCTTGAGTTCATCAAGCCTTTGATATAACTTCCAGGTTATAGAAACACAAAGAATAGAGGGAAAAGCTAGATGACACCACAAGGAAACAACAAGAGAAATCCGCAAGGTGGGACATTCTGTAGGACAACTAACTCCGTCTCTTCAACCACAAAAAAAGCAATTATAGAGGATTTAAAGAGAATTAAGGAGGAGCACCTGGCTGACTCAGTCAATAGAGCACTGGACTCTTGATCTCAGTGTTGAGTTCAAGCCTCATATTGGCCATAGAGCTTACTTAAAAAAATTGGGGGGGGGGTGCCTGGGTGGCTCAGTTGGTTGGGCGTTTGCCTTTGGCTCGTGTCATGATCTCGGGGTCCTG